AACACAAGGCTCAATTGTAGATATGCTATGTATCACAGCTGTTGGGAAACTGAGATCCATGCAAAAGTCTAAGAAATCTCTTGGGAAGGAGCTGTGCGGCGCCCGCTGCTGATCTGGCTAGCTCAAGTTAAGGGTGAACCACGTTCGGCGGCAAAACTCAATTAAACCTCCAATCCCTACTACAAATTGAGGGTTTACGCGTCCACACAAATTAATGCCCACCCCACGCGTTTCACCATCACTCATCTCTATCATTCCTTCCTGCTCATCACCAGTCACCCGAGGCGAATGACCTTACCATATTTACCCAACTCGCGGCCATCCACCAGGTCATAACCGTACGGATTCAATAACCAATGCCTCCAGTGAACAAACATCATCGCTCACAGAACCATCGAACTCAAATTGAATGAAAATCAACCTCTTGATTCGCTGAGTTCAAGACCTCAAGTCTATCATCAAGAGATCTACAAAGGTGGGAGTCAATTTATTGATCAGTTCTTTAGTATCCCTTTAATCTGATTGATCTGGTTTTTTCAATGAATGATTTAATTTAGCTTGATTTAAATCATCAGCGACTTACTACGCTCGATAAAAAAGTTCTCAATGATGATCAAAAAGTGTTATCGGATTACAATATTTCAGATGCTGATGAGATTGTCTTTAAGGACCTAGGTCGCCAAATATGTTGAGTATCTCTAGAACCTCAACCCACTGCTTTTGAATCGCTCTGATTTATACCTCTGAACAGCATGGAGGACGGTTTTCTTGATGGAATATGTAAGTGCAACTAGATCGACAATTTTTCTGATCTTGGTTTGATACTATCAGGTCATTGGGGTTAATGTGTAAGTACGTCACAAGTTTTGAATTGAACCCATTCCCAAAAACTGCTAACTTATCTTTATATGACTCAACTTCATGATCTCATTCTTTCACATTGGGTTACATGATCTTTTAGCCCGGTGATTTTGGTCGGACACAAGATTGATTTGAGATGAAGATGTTGACAATGAGTGGTTCAATTCGTGTATCGAATCAGAAGGCATTTTTGGAACGATTCTGATACACTGTTATAACCTATTCTTGAGAATCTTTTGAGTTGTTTGATTGGTCTGTTTATCAATCTTTTCAATCTTTAATCTTACATCTTATAAGAGATATCAACTTACATATCTTGATTTTGGTTTTTCTGGAATAGATCGATGTACTCAACCTCAGCCTACGATAGAGCCCCTAACTTCAATAACAGTTCCGAATTCATTCACCTTCTGCACCCCAACAAATGATCTTACAACACTTACTCCAAATCAACACGCAAACTCGCTCACAAATCTATCTCTTCAAAATGTAACAATTGCACCAGATTCTTTAATGGTCCATTCACAAAGCCCACCCAAATTGAACAGACCAGCCACTCTTTGAAGAGAAGGATCAAACCCACGACCATCCATAGGTACTCAAAAACGTAACTCAGCCACAGTAGCACATAAATTACAAGTGATAGAGTATCATAGTAGAGAAGGAGCGACTCAAAACCAAACAGCTAGAAAGTTTGGTCGAACTCAAAGTCGATTAAGCAGATGGTTAAAAGAAGAAGAAGAATTACGAGAATATGTGATGGATAAAGGATCATCAAGCAAACAACAAAGAACTGGAGATTGTAGATTGAGGAAGCCTTACTGTGATATTTTATAGAAGCCAAATTGAGAAATATTACACCATCAGATGATGATTTGAAAGATCGAACCAAGGTTTTCAGGAGCCTTTATGGAATTCCCTGCAAGTAAGTGGTGAAGCTTTCAATTATAGAGGGTTAAGAGGATGAGACAACTAAATGGGAGAGCAGAGCAAAGGCAAAGTCTTTGTGTAAAACATCAACCGCTAAGAGACTTAGCGCAAGCTGCAGTGCATGGTGAGGTGGAGAATTTGTCAGGTTGCAGTGGCTGCAAGAAATCTTGATTTACTGATTATGTCAACTAAATTTGGTGTATCAGACGTGAAAGGGTGTTTTGTGCTCAAGGAAGTTAGAATCCTACATGGGGGAGGAAATCACCATCATAAGGAGACAGACCTTAATCAGTTTTGAGGAGGGTGGTCAGTCTCAAATGCATTGAGTTCAAGGACGAAGATGCTACAGCGTGTGGCATACATAAGGCAATGGTGAGGTATAGAGTGGAGAGTGAAGCAAAGATTTTGAGAAAGCTGTGACAAGTGAAGTTTGTTGAGGCGGCGCCCGCCGCGGAATATGCTAGTAACTCATTATTGTATATAAGCTTCCTAGAGCCACACTAGGAAAAGGGTCTCTTCTTCACCCTTTTCCTTTTTCTTTTGTGCGCTCTAGGTAAGCTTTCTCTTTCTCTTTGTGAGTGTTTTGTTTTGTATATAAATTCACTAGCCAATCAGCGGCGGGCGCCGCAGCATTGAATCATGTTCAAGCAATTTAACACCACTTTCTTTGGACCATTTATTTTATCCACCTCCCACGCTGGAATCTTGCCATGAAAGCTTTCAAACAGCCCCAGGCATGCACACATCACACATTCAATTTATTAGGACATACTACACACCCCAATACAAAAACATAGCTCACAAGTAAGCTCATCCATTCAATATCATAACATCATTAATTGTTCCTTAAGACAGGAATTTCCTTCCCTTGCCTAGCTTAGCTTAGGTGAGGGAAGGTATGTAGCGGGAATGGGTCCTGGAAAAGGATAGTTCCTTGTTGAACTATCCTTCATGGACCAGGTATTAAGGGATACCTACTTTGACGCTTTGCAGACAGTTCCTCCTTACAGAGGTGCTCTCTATCGTTGTAATAGGTACCCCTGTAATTACAAAAGATATTCGCAGGCTAGTGTTTTGCTGTTGGGTGGGTGGGAGCTTAGAAATTAGTTAGTAGTCAATTATATCTTATAATAAGTATTAGTCTTAGTGAGTTGAAAGGATTGTGTATGAAAGAAAAGATGAAATTGATTTGAGGGATACGGGGGAATCACTTTGAAGAGAGCTAGGTTATACCAATTCTGTGAACTGGGTTAGCAGTGTATGCTTGTCACCTGTCTGTGCTTTGACCAGCTCTCCTAACCGGATCTGGATAGATTACCCCCTTTCCAATCCCTTTCCGTAAGTATTTTCCCTTACGATGTTCCTCCTTTCATGGACCAATCTTGCATTTCATGCCTTGAGCAAGAGGCAAAGAATTTTGACACTCAAAGCAGAAGACACTCGAAACTGATTACTGCAGCCACCAAATCATCACCCATTTCAATTGTCTTGACTTTGTATTACAACTATCTCATATATTCAGCCCACTATGTGGGTTTATGAGGGGTTTCCCTTGAGCTCATCCACAAACTCATATCAAAAACAGTGCAGATATTAACTCACAATTGGTTACATTCATAATCAAAAATCAAAAAACACCCATTAATATATCAGTGTGAGTCATTATGGGTTGTGATACAGAATCAAATAAGAGAACTACTAATTTAAACTTATATATCCAAACCATGTATATCATCATTTTAAATTAACTACTTCAAAAGAAAATGTCTATATGTAGCTGTAATCATTTTTTTCACCACCTCTTTGTTTCCTCTCTCTTTTCAAGTATATCAAGATTTCAACACATCAAAAATTTGACATCCCCCACATTGATTTTCTTCAAAAGGTTCTTAAAAAGTGAATATTTTTCAAAAAGCTGTGAAAATAGAGAAAAGGAAGATTATAAAGGGATGAACAGGAGAATGAAGCAAAAGAAATATTTGGATCGTTTCAACAAAACCAAACCATTAACCTGATAATTTCTTTTGTTCAACCTATTCTAAGATTGTAACAAGACATCTGATGTATTGAGTACTTTCTGTTTCTAGATAAAAGATGTGAAGTTGAATAAATCGAAGCTCCTATCTTTTCTTCTATTCTTCAGTCGTCAAAAAGGAAAATTACTAAGCAACATGAGAGTGAGTGTGTTAAGTTGTAGCTTAATTACAGCTGCGATTGATCTTTGAATCCAGCGGGTTGAATCAGATGAAAACTATTTTGTCTGAGTGCATTTGCTACAAAGAAGCACCATTGAAATGTAAGGTCATGGGCATGTATGATGAATTGGATTTTAAAAGACTGATCAGGATAGGCTCAACAATTGTCCACTTTTCCTTGAGTCGATTTGTTTGGTGATCCAATTCACTATTCAAGACCTTGTCAGCTATCATCTTGATCTATTTCCCAATGCTTCTTGTTCAGATGATCCCTGTATGAATTGAAAATGTCAATAACCGCGAAATGAAAGTCAGAAAAAGATTGTGCAAATCATACCACGAGAAATTATAAATCCAGATTTGACCAAAGTCTCGAGAGGGTGTCTGATCCAGCTTTTCTTGGAGATGTAGGTTGATGCAATTAAACCATAGATAGGAGTGAATGAAGTGCATTTGTTGATTGAATAGGAATTTGATTCAAGTTGACCATTCCAGTAAGATGGTTCACAATACACCTCAATTGCACCATAAGCTCTGATCCGAATGGATCGATCGGGGTTTAAAGGAGTTTGAGTTAGAGTTTCTAAAACTTGGTCGCCAACAGCAGATTGAAGAGTTCCCTTTAGATTATGAATAAAACTAAACCCAATCAATTTTCACTACACATTTGTGCATTCCAAACAACCCGATTAACTTCTTCTTCAGATCAGAAAGTTTGCCATTCAAATCAATCCCTTTACTTCTTCCCAAATTTCACCTGTACTTTGAATTCAAACAGATTGAAGAAATCTAGAACAATGAGTCCTAAGTCCAACTACATAATAATTGTTATTCAAATCAATTGGGTCCTCCTAGAATCTTATCGCACTCAATAATCCTTTCACTATGATTTCTGACCCATCGATCGGATCTATACTTGGCTGTTCACTTTGTGTTTTACAAAACAAAGCAAAAAGATATACATTGGTATCAAGCCTTCCTCTCTTATAAGTTTCAGGAAATAGAGAGAAAGGATTACCGTGCAATTTGTTCCAAGAGTAATCCATAAGTTGGTTTAGTCTCTTCGATATCTACCTCAATAGGTAAACCATTCAAGACCCAAACCTCTAACATTTGATTTGAATCATCATCTCCAAGACCATCAATTGGATTGCTAATAATCTTAGCCGCTGGTTTTACAAAAATATCACATCATTTGTTAGAATATTGTTTTGTTCCGACCGTTTTTTCTTAAGACTTTTCCAGTTCAACTTACAAGCCGAAACACAATTCTCTGTTGCAATCTTGATAGCCATATCTTCTTGATTCAACAAAACCCTTTGAACTTCATTCCCTCGATCAGTAAACTTAAACAACCTTTAAAAGATCAAAAAAATCGTAGGCAATCATATTGTTTGTTTGGTCTTCCATACAATTGCTCTTTTTTGTCTTTCTTGGCTCTTACAAAATTGCAAACTTACCTTGATTTTAGATTCCACAAAGTAGAGATAAATCAATGGATCTAGTCGACATGATTTAACACACTGTGATTGAGCGATATGATCTCCGGCGCAAGCTCTTTCTACTCAATCTAATGAGATAATAATCTATAAAGAGTTGCTAACTCATCGTCCCGTTCGGAATCAGTATTCGTGGCGTACAGTCTATATTCATGTAGATTGATCAAATTTAGGCTAGACACGCCTTATCAGTTGATTGGAAAATCTATTAGGTGACGATGCTGAAGAACTTACTTGTTCAAGGTTTATTGGCATATCACGTCCCAAAGGAGCCCACATTGGTTCCAGTATCAATTGGTTCTTCCACCTGATGTTGAAAACTTTGTTGAGTATCAATGCTAATTGATATCAAACCTGGGTCGCTTTTGGATGGTGGTGGTGATCAATTTTGGTTGCATTGAGGCTCTATGTGGTGACCAATTATGTCATAGCGAGTGAGTAATTACAGAGGGATTAGAGTTTGTACATATGGTGAACACGTAATCCTAAGATTTTATTCAGAAGACGCGTAAACCTCAAAATGTGGAGTAGGACTTGGAAGTTTTGGGAGTTTTGCCGCCGAACACGGTCTTCCTTTAACTTGAATGATATGTCCCTTTTCCTTTTTCTTTTGTGCGCTCTAGTCCATCGCAATAGGTTATGAGACCCATTTTCTCTACCAACTGCATTGCTCTATATATACAATAACTACGGAATGCGAGACGTTCCAAAGTGACAATGCGAAATTTCAAAAATCAAAAATCACAATTCCCGGGTGTGAAATTCAAAAATCAAAGACAAAACTACAGAAAATACTCAAATACAGGGATAAAACCCCTGTACTGGAGTAAAAATCAAGGCAGAAACCCCTTTTTGCCCAAATTTCCAGTGGTCAACACCATTTTCATTGCATTGTCACCTTTTGACAAAAAGTACCAGCAACACCAAAAACCAAAAAATCAAAAAACCAAAAATCAAAAATCAAAATCAAAAACCATAAAATACATTTCTGAAACTGTAACATTCAAACAACAATGTTAGATTCTACCACAGCCAAAAACCACATGTTGGCCAGCCAGCTACAAGCTCAGTCTCACAGGTATCAACACCTCCGACCGGAGACATTCTACCTTCTGTATCAAGAGCTTCAAAGTACCTTCCTGTCTCGCTCTCCTCCAAAACCTCTTTCATCATCATCAATCTTCTTTGATTGTCCTTGATCTTCTTCAATCTTTGTCAACTGTCCTTGATCTTCTTCAATCTTGGTCAACTGTCCTCGATCTTCTTCTTTCTTCTTCGATTGTCCTCAATCTTCTTCAGTCTTCTTAGATTGTCCTTGATATTCTTTAATCTTTGTCATCCGTCCTTGATCTGCTTCTTTCTTTGTCAACTGTCCTCGATCTTCTTCTTTCTTCATCAACCGTCCTCAATCTTCTTTTTTCATAGTTTCCACTCATCAAACTGGACCAACTAAAGACAGGATTTTAATCTTCTAAAATCTTCTCCAAACCTTTTTGAATGTTTTCAATGGTCTTCAATTGTCTTCAACCTTCATCAATTGTCTTCAACCTTCATCAATTGTCCTCAATCTTTGTCAATTGTCCTCAATCTTTGTCGATTGTCATCAATCTTCATCAACCATTGTCAATCATTGTCAATCTTCATCACTATTCTTTTATTGTCCTCCATCTTCATCACTATTCTTTGATCATCCTCAATCTTCTTCACTATTCTTCAAGTGTCCTCAATCTTAATTAATACTAGCCAATTGGGCGGCAGGCACCGCCATGTCAAGCTCTGAAAACAAAGTTGCTTTTAGCTGTTTCCAATCCAATCCAAGCTGACTGATGTGAGCAATAATGCATGATCCTTCAAAGCCAAGCATACCAACATCAGGGGTTTCATATTCCCAAAAGCCGTAGCACACTATTGAGCATGATCATGTCAATTTTGTCATTTGAAACATACTATTGAGCCTATGTGGTTTGAAGCCTTTGATCATCATAAATTTTATATGGCAAAAATCAATTATCCCAAAAAAGCAACACATTATCCCAATTAGGACAGTGTTTAATCCTGGCAGTGAGAAGTTGTCGAAGGTTTCCTACCTTTGACAATTGTAATTAGGTTGATATGGTGATGATGATAATATCACACCAATCAAAGCAGTGTTTATTTGAGATCAAACCAAGTAATGAACAATATCCTTTCTCATCAAGGGCAAACTGAGTCCTTGAAGCCGGGAAGCCTAGGTTCACACATAAATTTCTTAAGTCTGCAAGTTTTGTGCAAGTTCTATGCAAGATGTTTGAAAGAACTTGCACAGAACTTTCTTGCAACTTGCAAATTTCTTGCGCATGTTTGAACGCCATAATTTTACAAAACCAAAATTGAATCCCAAAACATTTGCAGAAACACTTTTCAGAATACTTCCCTCATGACTCACTATATAAGGATAAGCCTTACACCGGGTCATCATAACCCATACCCATATCACTTATTATTCACTCCAAACTGATCAGAACAATCTCAAAGCCTTCACTATAATTTACTCAACTCAAGCTGAATGCCCAAAAAAATTGCACGGTATCCTCTGCAAGCTCATTTCAATGGTGTGTCAGGAAAAGAATCATGACCATTTGATTCTAAAAAATCTGAACAAGATTGAGTCCTCAACTGTTACATTATTTACGATTTCCAGCTATTTCAAGATATAAAAAAGTTTATGAGATGAAGAAAAAAACAATACGAATTAATGTATGACAACTTTTTCAGATAAAAGAAAAAAACAAGATCAAGTTTGAGAATAAAAGTGATTCATAGTGACTTTAACAGCTTGATTAGAAATATTAAAGATTGGATGAATAGATTCAATAAGATTTTCATTTAAACCAATCACCAATTGGTTTTCTTTAACATTTATCCAAGCTAATGAATTTAAATAAATCTTTTTCATTCTTTCAATTCCGATTTGATCAGTTTCATTTAAACCTTTAATTCCATTCTTCATCACGAGTTCAGAATTAAACTTTCATTCAAGATCTTGTAATTTATCCAAAGAGAATTGATGAAAATGTTGAGAAGATGATAAACCAGAAAGTACATAATGTGTATGATAAATATCGACTTCCATAAATGGTTTGTCTCGTAGTCCTCCTTTTCCTTCTGGTATGGGTTGACCTTGAGAAGCTAAAAGTACATATTCTTGTAATCCTTGACGATTGTATGATGAATTGGAAAACTCGAATACATCTTTTTCGTCTTCAATTTTGAATTGATTGATTTCTTCTTGGATTAAATTCTCAATCACAGGGAATAGACCACCACACCACCAAGCATAACAACCATCTACTAATTTATTACTTCTACCTCTAAACCCACCACCTTTGATTGGTAATCCTTGCATACTTGTTAACCAACGCCAACAAGCTTTGTAATCGATCGAGGTGATTGGAATCAAATTTGATAAGCTTTTCAAAAGGAAATGTGAAAGTACACCACAAGAAGTATAACCACCATGAGATTCACCAAGAGGAACGGATGAGAGTGGTTGGCTGTTTGAGATGGCTTTGAGTGTTGCTGATCCAGAACTAAAACCACCTTCATAAGTTTGACTATCAGCAATAAAATCAGGTAAACCGATGGCTAATTCAGGTGTTAAGAAATTAAGTAAAGTTGAAACAATCAATACACAATAACAACTTCTAACATCTGATTCTCCATTCTTTTGCATAAGAAAACTACCATTAGATTGTTTGAGAGTTAAGATCCATTCATACATTCCATCTCGATTGACTTTTGACCAAGTTCGTTGAACAAGATCAGCTTTGGATTTAGCTAGTAAGGATGGTAAAGCTAATGTACAAGCAAAGGTAGAAGCTAGATGAGCACTTTGTCCTGGACCTCCACCAAAACCACCATTAGGATCTTGGAATGATAAAATAGTATCAACTAAAGCTTTATGTTTGGTTTCTTCGAAAGGCACATTGAGCATCAACACGGAATTCAAAATCCAAAATGTTAACCAAGATCTACTTGAATCTAATGCAGTAAAAGGAGTAGGTATCTCTTTAAGAGTAGATTTAATGAATTCAACATGAGCATCTTTTGCTCTACCCACCCACCTGACAGGCCCAGAGTGTCAACCGCAAGATGAATCCTGCTGTGCAAAAACCATCTAAGCGCTTTAACAAAATACAAAAATAAACCACTTACATCTCTCATGCTCTAGTTTCAAGAGTACAATAACTTAATGTGAAAAGAACATAATATTAAAAGTTTTTTATCTAAGACTTTAATCGTAAAAGTATCTAATCCAGACCCTTTTCTAGTTATCAAGGAAACGAGAACTAGTTACGATGAATAACTAAAAAGATACCCTGACGTGGCGTCCAATGACGATAAATTTCCAGCCCTGTTACAAATAGGACTAACCCAGTCAGCATCATATCATGAAACATAAGGACCCTTGAGGAAAGGATGAAAAGATAAACTTACGACGAAACCACTAACCATAGCTATTTAAAGGATCACACTCTCCCAACAAAGAAAGGAGGATCCATCCGAAAACTACACCTACAAATTTTACTTAGAACTTTTTCTTGAGAATAAGAAATTATCTACATTTTCCTTCAATCAATCTTATAAGAAAACTGTTGCTTTAAACTCCTTACCTTTAGAAACTTTTAGAACATTTTCTTATTATCATCGAACTCTTTCTTTATCTTTTTTCTCTTCTACTCTTTTAACAAACGAAGTTCTATAAAGATTGTTTAGGTAGCCCTATCCGACTGTAGGCTTCATAAAAACCCCTTTTGATTGAATCTTTATTCAACATTTTTGCTAAAGCAAAACCAAAGCTAGTTTACATTTGTATCCACTTTGGTAAAAACTCTTTAGATCCAATTTAAAGAGTTGTACTTATTTGCATTTTACGAAGAATCGAAAAATAAGTTTGAAAGCTTAGCTCAAACATACATTTCGTAAGTAAACATTTAGTCTTTTTCTACTTACTAGTCTCTAGTCAGAAGTCTTAGGCTGACACAGAGCCTCTAAACCACTCGATCACTCGGTGATCGAGTGGTTTAGAGCCTCTGTAGGCCTGTCAGGCCTGTGACAGGCCTACAGGGACTTTACAACGCCATCACCGAGCGATAGCACGGAAACCAGGCCTACAGAGGCTCTAAAC